TTTTTGCCTTTATCTTTACGCATCTTTGTTTTTGTTTTTATTTTTACCTTTGCCTTTATCCTTTTATTTATCTATGTACGTACTCACCTTTACTTTCATTAATGTATTGGTCTTTTTTTAAGTGCTATTCTTTAACCTTTTATTAGCAAGTTTTTGTTAAATTGATACCATATGCATACACATAAGAAGCACTTTCAGCCCCAACCATTTCCGTTCCACTATTTCCGTTGCACCATTGCGTGTGCTATTTCCGTTGAATTTGCCAGTTTACCCCCAACTCAAAAACGTATTATTTTTTTAAACAAAAGGATTATTGTTTTGAACATTAGACTAGATAGGTCTAATAACTCACTGAACCCTTAACCAATTTAATTTTCTTAATTAATAAGATTTTTTAGTTACTCATATCCTATTCATTTATTATAGAGCATTGACATAAAAAATGTTTCTAATCATAATGAATAGATACTTATGTATAGCAGAACGGAATAAAATAATCATTGTAACGGTAAATTAACTCCCAAAAGGTCAACATAAATGTTTTGCATAGCAAATAGTTAAATGCCTTGTCTATTCTTCTGTCATCTTCCTTACACTCAACCTTAACGACCCAAAGCCATTGAACAGCTGGACGAAATGAGAATGAATGAGCGCATTCTGTGCGGATCATTTGTTGTCCAAAAGTCGCATCGAAGGATGGCAGACACAAAAAAAGCCATCGACGGAAATAAAAAAGAAATAAATAAATAAAATAAAAATTGGTAAGATTGAACGAAGCATTGAATTTAGGAACTTAAAGTGTGTATTTTACTTATATTTGATGCAGACGGGTAACAGCTGTTGTATGTACTTAGTTAAGTGGAAAAGGAATGGGGCAATAGTAAAATAAATCAAAGCAATAAAACTTGATAGCTTCAGAGAGTTTTTCGTGAATGAAAAAATGGCAACGTTATTGAAATTTGATGGTGATAGTTTTAAATTGTTTTCTTTGTACAACTAAAATTGATGCGTTCAGTGAATTGTGTCTTCATCTTTATCCTCTGCAATCTATAACTATACCTCCTGACAAACTTCTTCCAACAAAAAGTTGCTCACACAACTCTTCCTTTGAATTCAAGAGAATTTCGCGTATCCCTTTTAACCACAATGCACCTATAAATAAGTAAATGAAGTGCCGCATTTGGAATAACGTTGCAGTAAGCCTTTTCTTTTTTTTGATTGGCGCTGTAACCGCCTAAGCGATTCTGGCCAAGTCCAACAAAGCACGCCAGTCGTTGCAGTAAACCCATTCACGGAGTTTCTTTCTTGCCGAACCTCATGTGTAGACTTTTTCACAATGGAATTTTTTTTTCAAGCAGATTTAGATTTCATCAAAGAGGTAGTCGACTAATTACTTAGTACTGTGACACCTTCCCGGAGGATGGTTCCGTGCGCGGAAGTCCACGTAAGTGGGAAAAGCTTTCACCTGGGAGTGGCCAGACGTGATTTTTGTGCGTATGGTTCAAATCGCAGCGCACAACGTCCGGATATTCATATCCACGTGTCCTCTGGGTAGAGACCAAATTCCCGATTTAGAGGGAGCTAAAGAGAGAAGGCGTAACACTTCGCCTGCGTAGGGTTTGGGTCCAGCCACGTGAATGAGCGTATGCACCTGGAATATTCGGATGCTTAATGGGGAAGGCTGGTTGGTATCCGCGGGAAGACTGAGGCTTACATCACTGCCATCCAAAAAATACGATGAACGGGGCAAAGCCAGGTTAGTGTGGAGCCTTGCGACATCTACTACAGTTGCCACGTAAAAGGAGCGCAAATTCGTATTTGTGGTGGGGGAGAGACTCCATCGCTGAGTACTGGCGTTCAACCTGGTGGACAAACGTTGGGCGTGTTCATATGATCGCTGCCCCCGACACGATATAGAACTCGTGTTTGGAGATTTTAATGCCAAGATGTGCCCAGGGATCTTTGGCACCATTATCGGAAAATTCAGCCTTCACGACGAAACGACAGAGACGTCCCTAGTTGCTCCTTATCTGGGGATTAAGTTTTAAGGGTGCCTTTCAAACGTCAGTTCATCAGCGACGCAGATTTCCGCGATGTCACTGTGATCCGGCACATAAATTAGAAGAAGTACCTCTCTGACGCGATGGATAAAGAAGTCAGATATTCCTTTACCGATTTCTAACGCACCATCATACTCTTTAGCAGTGAATCTAGCGCTTCCTTGATGGCAGCTATTTCCACCTGAAAGACACTGCAGAAGTCCTAAATCCTTAGTAACCCCGCACTACCCAGTCCTCTCTTGAGGGAATATAGGTAGGGAAGGAGCTTCTGGGATGCATTTCGGAGGCGCTGTAATTATGTGTTCAGGGCGAAGTCAAAGCCCCCACCAGAAATCCAGAGTATTACCATCCGGTTTCCCTTAGCCTAATAGCAGTTCGTGCTGCTAAAATTCTGTCTGCAATACCCTCAGACGCCGTGTTCAACATGACGTTAAGCGCCAGTATAGCTGTGATTCCTAATGCTCCACTACTTCCTAATTTACCAGTGAAGCTTTATCTAGCGGATTCCACCAGGCAAGGGCTCCGTGAAACAAGATAAGCTTAAATCTGGTTCCATAGAGCTAATAAACTACTTTTTACCGATAGCTCCTCTACAGCAGTACAAGACAACCGACGCCTTTTTTATCCTAACCTCGATGTGAGGTTTCTACGACAGCTTCCTATCCAGGATCCAGCCTAAGTACTTGACCATGTCTGAGAGCCGCAGACGAACAACCCCACTCGAGGGAAAGGCCACAACGTGTATCTTGTATTTCCTGGTAAACAAGACCAGTTCCGTTTTGCATCAGGTAACTTTGAGGCGGAAAAAAAGGGTTTGTAGAAATCATCGCTTAACCAAAAGATCCACATAATCTACATAGGCGATCACCCGATATCCCACTTTTTCCAGTACCTCTAGAAGGTCGTTTACAACCGCAACGTAGAGCAAGGGAGAGAACACCACCTTGCGGAGTGCCCATATTGTGTCTGCACTGAATGCAGGCGCTCCCCCGCTCCGCCGCGACAGTCAGCTGTAGATAAGCCCTATTAGGTTTCAACCCCCATATTATGAATAGACTTGACTATTGCCTCTGGAATGCCATTGTTGAAGGCTCCCTCGATATCGACGAAGGCCCCTGCCGCGTGAAGGCTTCCTCTGACCCTTTTAGCAATGTTTGCAGGGTGATATCCACCGACCTTGCATTAAGCATGTTGAGCTCTTGAAAGATAGTAACGAGGAACCGCGTTTCTTATGCATGTTTCTTGCGCGATTTGAGCAAAAACGAAGACAGAGTGATGGCCGAAAATCCCTAGGAAAAGCCTGAGATCCTTTTCCAGCCTTCGGGATGAACGCAACACTGACTACCCTACAAGCCTTGGGGATGTACCCGGTCCTCACGCAGTTCGCAAGTATGATGACATCGGTCCCCGCCGACTTTAATGGTTTGAACGAATTTATCGCCCAAGCCATGTGACGAACACCAAAAAAATCGGAGACTAGTATAGGACCTTATTATATACATATACTAGTGATGAACTGGTCCCAAACTACTCTCCCCAACTAATCCCGAAGTGCTCCTGAACAACCCTCGTCTTTTAAGACTTAAAAAATTTTTTCGCACTCATAATTATTATAAAAAGACTTTTATAATATATGTAAGTCTCAGAATAAAAGTCTTTGAAGACTCAGAAATATTTATATCTCTGATAATTATTGTGAAAGGACTTTTATAATATAAGTCATTGAATAATAATTACAGATGACTCGAAATAATTTTATCTAAATACATATAATAATTAGTGATTGACTTAATTTTACTTGGCCAAGGCAGAAAGTTCCCAATTTTCATTTTTTTTTGCAGCTTGACGTGCTAATATGGGGCCAGGAGTAAATCCATTTCTTCCATTTTTACAAAAAAAAATTGCCGAAATTGGAGAAAAATCTAAAGCAATCACGAAGACGTTGCGTTAAAATCTAAATTCAACCAAAATTTTACAATTACAAAACTAAAATCGGTTGCCGCGCCACCTACACTCGAATAGCAGCACTTAACATTAAAGTTACTTCAAACACCTTTTATATCTCAGCATTCACGCAGCACAGACAAACACCGCAGAAATTATTCTGTTTATAGTGAAAATAATGCACACCATTTCCAACACGTTTGGAACTCACCAACTGGTGAATTCATATTTGTTATCATTCTTCTTGTTGCCTTTGCTTTCTTGACATTCGCTTTGTGCCCAGCCGCTATGCCTTTTTCGTAAATATTTACGAAGTAGAAGTCGAGCACTAGCAATGAAGTTTAGGAAATTGGAAGACGCGCGAAACCACACAGAGTTGCATGCCGGAATAGGCCATTGAGGAATTTCTGCGCTTGAGAAATTTATTTTCAGAGGATTTTTGATTCGTTTTAAATTGGTTTCGATTTACCATTCTACCGCATTGTTACACATACTCATCGATATTTTGGTGATTTTATATGCAATTTTATGAGATCTGTAATATTAACTGAAGTTTTTTATGAAAGAAGATCAAAAATATTAAACTCAGATATCTTAAAAAATCAATTTCTCTTATGCTTATGAATCTGAGTATATATTTGACGAAAAATTACTAAAAAGAGGACACATAGTTTTTGATTTTAATTATTTTTCATTATGTGAGTAAAACTCTAAGAGTAAATTTATACACCGTCTTTTAGGTGTAAATTTCAATCTGATATTTTTGAATGGCATGAAAAACGCTTTAAAACACAGAGCAAAGGTTCATTTTTAAGTTTCTTCCAAACTCCTATACAAAATTTGTTTAGAAATTTCGCATTCTTAAAATCAAATTTCTCACACTTCCGATTGGGCATTTACTTCAACGCAATTCAATTTTTTACGTCATCTGGCAGCGCTATCAGAAGGGAGAAAGTTGAAAACAAAGAAAACTAATGTCAGAAACGAGCAGAATTTCAAAGCGGTTGGACGTGTACGCGGTTGAATTAAAATATTTTTTATAAATAGCAAAATAAAAAGTGAAATTTGGGCAAATTAAAGTGCAATTGGTGTAAGTAAAATTTTAAAGTGTTTGCGTAAACAATTCGTTCATCAAATTGGCGTAGTTGTTGAAGAAGTAAAAAGCCTTTGGCTGGTGATTTGTGAAATCAATAGAATGCAATATGCGCTGCAGCTGTGCAAATTGTTATGAAAATTTGAAAATTCAATAAGCCGTGGCGCCGTCGAGGAGCAAGCGCATCGTCATTCGCACCGCTTGACTTCTCCTCCCTAGGGTCTATCGGCTGCAGTAAACAGCAGCGGCGTATGCAGGCGATAACAATGCAAAAAGCAAACAATTGCATGCATCATTGTATGTATGTGCATCGTGCGCTGGGAACAATAAAAATTAAAATATAAATTTTATGCAGCCAACAAATAACGCAAGGGAGCATAAATAAATATAAGCTATTGCATGGTTGCGATTTTAAAGTGGAAAGAAAGTGTAGAAAGTGAAAAGCGTGCGACGTCAAAAACAAAATGCATTGAAAAGCGACAAAGTCGCGTTTGACAAAACAAAAACAAAAGGAGAACATATTTACATATAAAAATCTTGTTGATAAAGTGAGGGCTTCGAAATATTTTTTGTAGCCTCAAAAACATTCCACGCCTATTATTTATTTCATATGTACATAAATATAGTGTTGTGTTTTATGTTTTTTGTTATTTATTTATTCAGCTTTTTGTTCTTTTTAGGCGCTTTTATTTTGTTTTATTAGCCCACGTTTCTCGCCTGGCGACTGACAAGTGTGGGTGGCGACAGCTGTCAATTTCTTGTGTGCAATACAAACAAACAAAAAAAACAAGCAAGTGCAATATTGCAGCCGGTGTAAATTAATTAATTTTCATTAAGCATTAATTGAAATGTCTAGAAAGCCGGCTATGTAATCCGTTGCAATACCTACAACAAAAGATTAGTTATAAAAGTTGTAAAGTTGAAGTGACAAAATCTACATATTTATATTTAATATTTACCCGAAGTAAACTCCAATTAAAAGTACTTATCAAAAATTTTACCAACGAACGGCCGCAACAGCAGATAAGGTAAGTCTTAAAATTTTTTTGAAATCTAACAAAGTTTGGAATATGATTTTCCTGGTTTAGGTTAACGCAATGAAAAGAGTTTTGCTACAGCAGCCCAAATTTTCTACATATCTACAAAACTTATTTGGTATCCTGCTGTAGCGGCATTATACGGTGTTTACATGCGGATTTTGCGGCAACTGTTGAAAACAGCCACCGCCTAGTGTGAACGGCTTTTCAACTAATCGCTGCCAATGAAGTTGGGGAGCAGCCAACTTTTTATTCACCTAATTGCCTCTGAAATTGCTTGCAAAAGATCCATTCACAGGTCTATTCTGCGCTGGTAATAAAAAGTTTGTAACCGGTAAATAAAGTTCCTGTCAATTTTTAAACCCTTTTCGCATTCTGTGTACTCTTGTAACCGGTAAATTTTGTTACCATCTCATAAGCTGGTAACAAAGTATTGCCCCGTGAAATATGCAATGCCAGAATTTGCACAATTCTTCATAGCTGAATCGCTGAATATTGGAACTGCATTACCAACGTTCCTAGAATCGCGGTGACAAGAACTGGTAACATTTTTTGGTAATAAAATTTCCCGGTTACAAAATCTTCGGTAACGTGCAGAATAGACCTGTCAATATCAAAAATTTGTACGAATTGTTACTAGTGCTTGCAAGTTTTTACTGGAAATACATTCAATAACCCAAAATATTTGCAAGAGAGAGCAAATTCGAGAGCGTAACAACCCGAGAGAGTTGCAAATTCTTGCAAGTAAAAATTTTACTAGCAGGAATTTGCAGGAGTCAAAAAGTAAGGTTATGTTTCAAATTCAAATGTAAACAAACTGTTTAAGAGGATGATTTGATGGAACATAATTAGTGAAATGAAAATATGGATGGAAAATTTAAATCTATTGCATATTTTTTTATTTTTATGACGGTGGGAACTATTCCCAATTAAAAAGAAAATTGCGTGCCAAAACTTAACCGTCAGAAAGTTTTTAAATGCTTAAGTTGCAAGTTTTTACTAGTTTTGCGTTCAATAGTTGCGTTCGATAACAAAATTAGCCAACACCAGCCAACAATCAAAATCAAGAGAGTAAGCGAAAATTCTCTCCCAAAGAGATGAAAAAGCAAAAAAGTAAACGAACAGGAAATTAGCCATTACTTGCAAAAACCGGAAGAAGAACACACCAGCTGACTTTGCTTATGTTTTATTTGTAAACAAACTGAAATTCATGTTGCCTCCATAGAAGAAAAAAGGAAAGTGAACGTTCAATGTTCGCCAGGAACATTTCTAGAAGTAAAAACTAGTTGACGCTATCATAAAGTCACATAGCAGGCAGCCAAAAAGCATATAAATACCAAAACTCGGAAAATGCAATTTTGTTTGTTTACAGAAATTGCAACCATATGTTTTGTGATCATATGTTTTCGTGTTGGACAATTTTTGCTGACTAAAATTTTGCCAGTACAAAATGAACGCTTCTCTTGCATCAAAATGAACGCTTGCTCTCTCAATTTTTATGTGTTGGATTATTTTTTGTCGTTATCGAACGCCATCCAGTAAAAATTTGGAAAAACTATTACAAATTTTTGACTTGTCGAACGCACCTAATAACTTTTTCTGCAAATTTTCTCTTGCTCTCAATTTTACTCTCTATTTTTCTTTCACCCTCTCGCTGCAAGTACTTACTGGAAAAGTTATTGAATGGACCTAAAATCATCTCATGTATACACATGTTTTGCCTGATATGCAAATAGAATGCCAAAATTTTCTGGAAAGGATACTTGCAAAAAATAATTTCAAAAACATTTTTGTAAGAGTCTTTTGGAATAAATATGTAAATACCTAAATATGCGTTGTGTCGGTAACTAAAACTTACTGTCGTAGAAAAGCAAAAACACCCCAGTAGATAATTTCATTGGCTAAAAGCCCTTTCTAAAAAGAGGCTTGGTAGTCAAAAGACCTTCCACTCTTGCATTTTTCTCCATTCCTTTTTTGTAATGTTAAATAATTAAAACATACACATCCGCTAAAATTGTAAATAGAATAAAACCGAAAAGGCATGCGGGGAAGGGCTTTCTTGGGTAGGCCTTTTAGAAAGCCTACCTAAATTATCTTCTGGGACTGGATATTGCGTTGTAACCGCACAAAAATTATCTGAAAAGTTAATAGGGAATGCTGTTAAATTGGCAGTTCTTGGGGAGATAAATGTAAATGTGGACCGTTCCATTTATGTAGACCAGATTGTGATGAGAAACTGATCTATGGTTTTGGTTGTGGAAAATATAAGCCCCTCCGAGCTGGTTAAGACAAAAAAATTCTTCATCGAGTCCTTGAAAAAACAGATATGTATTTTCTATGTATGTATATTTTGCTGCCATTTGATTTATTTCATGTATGCACTGTGTTATACTCAAAAACAGTTTCTTTCTCAGAACGAAATGATCAAACAATACCATACAGTGTTCTTAAAATTCTTACATGTGTACATGCATTCATTTAAATATATGTACATATTAATATATGCACACACAATATCAAACTCATCCA